TGCCATCAAAAGCAAAGACATTTGGGGGGAAATCCAAAGAAACTGGGTCGTAAACATCACCGATCGGCGAGATGTGGCGGCAAAGTGTTAGGATGGGAATCTTTTTTTAAGAAGGCATTTGTTTCCTTTCCCAATGACATCCATATATCATATCATATATATATGTGAGGCAGCGTGGTGGAATCAGGCTCTCGTCAATTTTTGGGCATATTGAGTTATTGGTATCATATTAAAAGCTTATTCACTTGTCTTGCTTTCAATGAAAAAATTACCCATCCATCTTCAATAGAAGTGGAGATATTTTGGATTGAAGGAGGTGGGGGTCACCTGGTTTAAGAGGAAAAATTAGCGAGAAAATGGCCGCCAAAGCTTGGTAAATTTCAAAGCTGGAGAGTCCATGGAAATTGTAAATTTATATTTTTGTGCCTTTAATCAACTATTTCGGTGAAATCCTCAAAGGAATGTGTTTGTAAATGGACATAAAAGGTGTTGAGCCAAAAGACAAAAAATTTGATAAAAATTGTTAAGCAGGGAGAAAACTGCTATTTTCTTCGATTTCATTATTTTGACAAGAGCCTGATTCCACCACGCTGCCTCACATATATAGATTTTTTATAAGAAAGAAGGAGCAAACCATATCAGAGCCCCAGCCAACCACCCACCAAGCTTTCATTTAGATGGTCAGCCACTTTGACAGCGGCTGCATTTTGCCAGATGATGACAGAAGCAAAAACTTTCTTTTTTTAAAGTACGAGGACAGTAGAAACTTAGTACAAAGCCTACCGACCACCCACAAAGACAAACATCATCGAAAGGGTGGGCACTAAATTTTGAAACCTCATCATAAAATTATTTTAATGAGACACAAAAAAAAACCAACAGAACAATAATAGGTAGCTTCGTAAGAACCTGTGCATGGTCCAAGCATTGCAACACCCATAACATCACTGGAAATGGGTACAAATTGTCACCTCAGAATTAGTTTGTCCAAAGTGTACTTAACCCTATCCTTACGCCCTGGGGTCATTTTGTACCCCCGTGGTTGTATTTTTCACATTTTAGAATACTTCTAGTCCGAAGATGCTTTTGAAACTTTCAGTATTTCTCAAAAAATCATTTTGACAGACAGCTATGCAAAGCGTACGTACAGATCGGATTAACGAGAAAATTTCCTCTTTGGAAAGTGGTGGCACAGAGTTCCCCACGTCGTATGGATATGATAATAAAATATGACGTACCGATAGGGTTCAGCGACCGCACAGAGTTCCCCACGTCGTATAGATATGATAATAAAACATGACGTACGGATAGGGTTAAGTAAAGAGGGCACTTTGGACAAAACAGTTCTGAGTCTATGAAATGCTTCGTTCAAACATAACAGAAACTGTGAGGCAACGGGGGCACATGAAATGGAAAAGAGAACAAATATAAAAGTTGTTCAACTTCAACACACAACCCAAACACTTGAGAATAATTTCAGTTGATACAGGAGCTTTTAATCAACTTAAGTCTCCTCATTCATCCATAGACCCACTGAGGTAGATATAATCCCTAACAAAAGTGCAGTTTAAAACCCTTATCAACACTGTTAGGTTATTTAAAGAGGCGGGACCTCCGAGTTTAACGTCCATCTCCAAAAGGACCAAACCAAGTGGGCGGGATATTCGTGTAAAGTGTCTCCCTTCCCAAGAACACAACGTCGAACTGAGCTGAGGCTCGAACCCCCGAGCCCGCAATCTCACAATTACGAGTCCGGTGGTCTAACCACTAGGCCACCGACGCCACCACCACATAAACCTACAACACATGGGTACCCAACAATAACACAGACAATTTTATGTTTTGGTAAAGTGTTTTACGGCATAACTGCATATGGTCATATGAGTGCGCGGGACACACCTAATATTTTCAGTTGGTAGGAAATTTTGAATTTTGCCCGGGTGGCGGCCGAAGCCTACTCTTATCGATTTTAGACCATCAAGGGATCTTTAACATGCGCAACTTGCACACGGGCCCTCCGAGATTTTTCGACCTTGTCCTAGAAGGCTAGGTGTAGATCTTTCCTACCAGAAGATCAGGGGTGTGGCTGAAAGACAGCAGTAAGAAGAAGCCAAGGAGTAGCAGTAGAAAGGCTGCAGAAAGAATCAGGAGCCCAAAGGGAGGGACAAAGGAGGTGTGGGGGTGGGGGCAGAAAGAGGAGACGAAAGCAGACGACAGAACTTTGCTAGAGAGCAGGAAATGAGGTGAAAGGAGACAAATTTAGAGAAGAAAATTTTTCGGTCACTACCCGAATTCGAACCCGGGACCTTTTGAGTGAGAGGCCAACACCTTAACCTCTAGGCCACGAGAGACCCCAACACAGACAAATTTGTGAACGATAGCGGTCTGTGCTTAACAGGGAACAGCAATGTATGCCTATCGCAGGATGAAAACAGTAAATTGGAAAAACTGGCCATCCGAGTGAGGGAGTTTTTGTGACGTCAAGTGAGCTTCTTATCGGTGGAGATACACAACAGACAGACAAACAGACAGACAGACAAATAGTCAGACAGACTGACAGACAGATGGACAGACAAGACACACACTTTAACTTTTTACCGCTTTATTGCTTGCATAGTCTCAGGTTCACAGTAGAACAAAAAGCAGTTACACTAAAAAAAAAATTTTAACCCTATCCGTACGTCCTGGGGTCATTTTGTACTCCCGGGGTTGTATTCTTCACATTTTAGAATACTTTTAGTGCAAAGACCTCTTTGAAACTTTCAGTATTTCTCAAAAAATCATTTTGAAAGACTGCTATGCAAAGCGTACGGATCGGATTAACGAGTAAATTCCTCTTTGGAAAGTGGTGGCACAGAGTTCCCCACGTCGTATGGATACGATAGTAAAACACGACGTACAGATAGGGTTAAAGTCATAGTTCAGATAATGCTCTTTGTATACATAATTCAAATAACATTTTAAATAAAGTAAATTCACTTTTAAAGTTCAACATCAAACAACAACGGGCACTTCAAACTATCAAACCGCTACTCAGAAATCTGGTCTGTGCAGATATAAGTCATCTTGGCTTGGGCTGCAAGTATAATGAATGTGACCTCTTTGTTGACTCAAAATATTGCAGCTCACACAGAGTTACTGTCACTGTTGCTGTTACTGTTACTTACTGTCACTGTTGCTGTTACTGTTACTTACTGTCACTGTTGCTGTTACTGTTACTTACTGTCACCGTTGCTGTTACTGTTACTTACTGTCACTGTTACTGTTACTTACTGTCACCGTTGCTGTCACTGTTACTTACTGTCACCGTTGCTGTTACTGTTACTTACTGTCACTGTTACTTACTGCTAGTGTTACTGTCACTGTCGCTGTTGCTGTTACTTAGTGCTACTGTTAAGGTTGCTGTTACTGTTATGGTTACTTACTGTTACTGTCACTGTTACCGTTACTTACAGTTACTGTTGCTATCACTGTTAATTCCTTTTACTGTTGCGGTTACTGTCACTGTTACTGTTACTTACTGTTACTTGCTGTTTCAGTCACTGTCACTGTTACTGTTACTGTCACTGTTACTTACTGTCACTGTTACTTACTGTCACTGTTACTGTTACTGTTACTAACTGTCACTGTTACTGCTACTGCCACTGTTACTTACTGTCACTGTTACTGTCACTGTTACTTACTGTCACTGTCACTGTTACTTACTGTCACTGCCACTGTTACTTACTGTCACTGTTACTAACTGTCACTGTCACTTACTGTCACTGTTACTGTCACTGTTACTTACTGTCACTGTTACTTACTGTCACTGCTACTGCCACTGTTACTGTTACTTACTGTCACTGTCACTTACTGTCACTGTCACTGTTACTGTCACTGTTACTTACTGTCACTGTCACTGTTACTGTTGCTGTTACTGTTACTGTTAATGTTGCTGTTGCTGATGTTGTGCTGTTATTTCGGGGGACAAGAACTAACTGATCTCTTCACTAACGCCGAACCTCACCCAGACTACCAACATTCCTCATGTGTGCATGCGACAGGCTTTTTCGTTCAGATGGTTTTCAAATAATCCAGTAATTGACAATTACTTGTTTAAAATCTTTTCCCAAGCTTCTGTTCTAGTGAGAGTTTTACGGCACTTGCAACACAATATCAATAAGGTCATTTCAGTGCCGAAGAAGTTACAAGAGAGTAACAAACACAAAAAAGAAGGAGGGAAGATAGAAACGATAGATTTTTTATATAGGAAAGAAGAAGCAAACCACATCTGAGCACCCGCCAACCACGCACCAGCTTCTGTTGGCTATGGAAGGTGATCAAGAATTGAAAACTGGCCACATGCAGCTGATTAATTGTTTGATCAATTGTTCAATAGATTGTTCGATAAAATGTTCAATAAATTGTTTGATCAATTGTTCAATAGATTGTTCAATAAAATGTTCAATAAATTGTTCAATAGATTGTTCGATAAAATGTTCAATAAATTGTTTGATAAATTGTTTGATAAATTGTTTGATTATTTGTTCAATAAATTGATAAATTGTTCAATAAATAGTCTGATAAATTGTTCAATAAATAGTCTGACAAATTGTTTGATAAATCGTCACCTTCCTAATGGAGTACATTCACAAACAAGAAACATTTTGACATATGAGAACATAAAGAGTGCATGGCTTATCACAGCGCCCCTCCTTGATATACGTCAAAGTGCCTTAAAAAGGGAACAAAAGAATCTACACAATTCCAACCTAGAGAACATTTGAGTCAGTTGGTGAAAAAAAAAAAAATAAGCACAAAAAAACAAAAAACTGACAAGATCTTTCAATGTCTGTAGCCCGATACTCATTCCCACCTGAGTAAGGTTAGGAAAATTCAAATAAAGTGCCTTTCCCAAGGACACAACATCAGACCCTTGACAAGATTCAAACCCACAACCTTATGGATGCGAGTCCGGGAGCTTAACCACTAGACAACCAACCCCACACTGCCCCACTTACCTCAGTCTCTCCAACCAGCCAAAGGCGCTCCAGGGGAAATAGACAACCCCCAGGGTCCCCGCGATGATCGCCACCGCCATCTCTGGGATCTGAGAGCCCTGGTAGACGAGGATCAAACCCAGACCCTGCAGCAACCACATGACCAGGTCCAGAGAGCGCGGGTTGGAAATGGGGCCGTAGCGGTAAACCACAGCGAAACTGACCAGAGCCGCAACAACCACATAGCCCACCAGGACCTACGAAAGAACAAACCAAATTATTCATAATTTGCTGGGTACCAAGTTTGACTCACGGAATCAAAAGAATCCATCGTCAAGTCATTGTGGTATCAGTACAGTGCATACTGCTAGTGAACTGAAGCCTCACTTGTTTACAATGGCGTCTTAGATGACGGACTTTCCTAAGATTAGATCAAAACGAAACTAATGAAAAACTGAAAATTATACAACAGTGACTTCAGACTCCTTAATATAACTATGCACTCTTTAAATGATTCTGAATCATCATTAATTTGTTCAAATTCGAAAGTTAAGAGGCTCGGAAATTTTAGGCGACCAAAGTGACGAACTTTCATTTATATTATAGATTGTGTCACACCACGCTGGAATCAGGCGCTCATCAAAATAATAAAATCAAAGAAACCTGTATTCCTCCCCCTCCCACCACCCCCCCCCCCCCCCCCCCCCAAGGTTGAGAAATTTTTAGCAATTTTGTTTATTTTGCCCTAACACTTTATATGTCCATTTATAAACACATTTCTGTGTGGATTTATGTTGATCAAATGCGCACAAAAATGTAACATTGCATTTCCCAAGGACAATCTATCTTTGGAAGTCCCCAAACTTTGGCGGACATTTCCTCACTAATTTTATTTCTGGATAAAGTCAGGGGAGAGTCTTTTTCTTCCTCGTTCTCGGGGAGAGTCTTTTTCTTCCTCGTTCTCGGGGACAGTCTTTTTCTTCCTCGTTCTCGGGGAGAGTCTTTTTCTTCCTCGTTCTCGGGGAGAGTCTTTTTCTTCCTCGTTCTCGGGGAGAGTCTTTTTCTTCCTCGTTCTCGGGGAGAGTCTTTTTCTTCCTCGTTCTCGGGGAGAGTCTTTTTCTTCCTCGTTCTCGGGGAGAGTCTTTTTCTTCCTCGTTCTCGGGGAGAGTCTTTTTCTTCCTCGTTCTCGGGGAGAGTGAAAAAGAGCAAGAAAGAAAAAGAGAGCCCGTTCCCACAGACAGTACACTTAAAATAATAATAATAATTTAATAATGGCATTTATATAGCGCATATCCATGCTCAAGAGCATGCTCTATGCGCTTTACAACTATTATTACCCCAGCAGACCCTCTGAGAACACTCAGAAACATACTCGGCTTCCGTGGAAGTATACAGTGCAAGCTGCGGATTTCACGCGCTCAAACACTATCAAACTGACAAGATCGTTCACTGTCTATAGGCAGGTACCCATTTCCACCTGGGTGAGGTGAGGAAAATTTGTGCGTGTGTGTGTGCAGCTGCTTAAGTCCTTGTACAGGTCAGTCGGCTTGTTGGTGTGTGTGTGCGCGCGCGCGCGTGTGTGTGTGTGTGTGTGTGTGTGTGTGTGCAAAGTGCCATTCCCAAGGACACAACGTCGGGCCCCTGACGGGATTCAAACCCACGACCTTATGGTTGCGAGTCCGAGAGCCTAACCACTAGGCCACCGACGCCTCAAGTTATATACAGTATGTTACTTACCTGCCAGTAGTTGACCAGGATGTAGTGAAGGTGGAAGTGGAAGGTGTGGAGGAGGAACATGGAGGCCGACGCACTGACCGCAAAGACCGCGTAGCTCAGCGTCTTCAGCTTCTGTTGGACAGATGCACACACACAAAGCCGTCAGTATCCATATGTGTCACGATAGACACACACACACAGTATAGCCGTCAGTATCCATATATATATATATAAAATAAGCACGGAGTGCCCATTGGGGGATCTACAAGCCCATAGACAAACCGATCACCCGACATTGCCTGATAACAAACGCGTTTGGTCGCTTTTAAGCACAAGGGGGCTATCCCGAAAAATGCCGTTTTGAGAAAATCGAAGGCAAAGTTTTTGCCCCTTGTTCAGTTTCTTTAAAAGACAAGGAAAGTTTTCTCTATAACCAAACAAATATTCACATCAATGAAACCAAACTTCTCCTATAGGTATTTTGGAGTAAGTCAAGGTTTCTGGAAACCCCCGAAATATAGGCTAGCCCGCTTGTCCTTAAAAGCGACCAATTGTCTTTGAGGGGATGAGTCCGGCGATCAGTTTGTGCCACGACAACCGCTTTGCGCCCTCAATCTGGGGAGCAAACCGAACCGAACCAAACCCATCGTGCCAATGGGCACTCTGTATGAAAGAGACAACCAGCGAGTGGCCAAAACGGAACAAGAACTTTGTTTAACTGTTTACAAAACACACAACTTTTGCAAAACCAGACACTTTATGGATGGTTTATAATTGATTACAAAATAGACACGTTTCAGAACAAGCACGTGAGTCAAACCAGACACATTTACAGAACATGATAGATAATGACAACAGTAATAGTTCATCCGTCGATGTCTGACTATGACCAATCCCTCCGCTGAGGAGAAAACCTCATATGCGAAATACAAGGTCATATCCTTTTGTAAATGCCTTAACTCTTTATCTCTGTGGGGGGGATAAACCCACTACGCCGCCCCCTTTTTTGGTACTAAATCTAAAAAAAGACAAAACCATCACTTAATGTGTCATTAAATCAAAACAAGTCAACCTATTTTGATAGTTCTTCATCTAATGAATGAACTCCCGATAAAAGTGACCTATTTTTGGCAATTTCCGAAAAGTAATTTGATATCAAAGTTGTTGTAAAGGAATGTGCCCAAGCTGCTGTCAGTGACTCACCAGTTCCGACCGCGAGCCGCTAGGAGCGGCTTGCCGGAGATCAAGAGTTAAACCTGAGAATCTGGGACCTTTTACTTTCCTGAGAATCTGGGACCTTTTACTTTACTGAGAATCTGGGACCTTTTACTTTACTGAGAATCTGGGACCTTTTACTTTCCTGAGAATCTGGGACCTTTTACTTTCCTGAGAATCTGGGACCTTTTACTTTACTGAGAATCTGGGACCTTTTACTTTACTGAGAATCTGGGACCTTTTACTTTACTTAACTTTTCCGTTCCAGCGACGACCATCTGAGTTTTAACCCTTCGGCCTGTGAAAGAATCTGGGACCCATTTTGCAGCATTAAAAAAAAAAAAATTCCACGAGACAAAGAGTTCTGGGGAGCTCTACAAGGTCAACATGCTACACGGAAACAATCAGTGGCAGATATCACAGCAGTCGCTGGCAGGCCTCTCACCTGAGGTAGGAATTTGTTGAGGACGAACAGAAGAAGGAGGACGGAGCCAGCGACGCCAAAACTGACGCCCGCGCTGTAGTGGAGGATTGTGTTCCTGGAAGGGGGAGATAAAACAGGAAACGACGATGATGGTGGTGATTGTGATGATGATGATGATGATGATGATGATGATGATGGTGGTGGTGGTGGTGGTGGTGGTGATGATGATGATGATGACGATGATGATAATGATGGTGGTGGTGGTGATGGTGATGATGATGAGGGCGAAATGTTGAACTTGTCATTAAATATTTTGGAAATACTACCAGGTCTTAACCGTTTTACTCTCTGCTGTACACAGTGATGATGATGATGATAATGATGATGGTGATGATGATGATGATGATGATGATGATGATGATGATGATCATCATCATCATCTACAAAAACAGAAAAGACCGACACATCAAAGTGACAGTGACAGTCATGACACTAACCTGCTCCATGACGGGGCAAAAAGGAAGATGAGGATCCCCAGTGCCAAATAACCCACAAACCAGATCTCGGGATCTGAGAGGGAGAATAAAAGAGGGTCTGGTCAGCCACCAAATCTCTCAGTTTGGTTTAATAGAGTTTTTACTGCGCTTGCAACTGCATAAGGTCATATGAGCACCAAGGGGTGGATGTCAACAGAGAAGTCTTTACAGGGAATCAGGCTTACTCTGTTCACCTAAAAAACTACTGCTCGAATGAATGTTTACTGAATAATATAACGAACACTATAATAGGGCACAACACAACAATAACAGATAAAAGATTGTATTTACAAAGCCTACAACCCTACTTTCAAGAAGGTTTCAATTAGGGCTATTCTCAATTGTAACTTTCAATTAGGGCTATCCTCAATTGTAACTTTCAATTAGGGCTATCCTCAATTGTAACCTTCAATTAGGGCTATCCTCAATTGTAACTTTCAATTAGGGCTATCCTCAATTGTAACCTTCAATTAGAGCTATCCTCAATTGTAACCAACTTTGAAGTAGAGTCCAATCTCTTTTCTTCTGACAATATCTTCTACTCTCTACAGCATGAACCCGATAGTTACTTGAACAAGAAAGCAACAATATATGGTCGCATGTAGTACGATCGAGTCACGAATGCTCAACTGTGGGAGAGAACAAGCCAAAGGCCAGTAAAGGAAGATATTCAGGTGAAGAAATGGAAATGGATTGGACACACCCTGAGGAGACCCCCGACAAGCATCATCAGGCAGGCTTTAACGTGGAACCCACAAGGAAAGCGTAAGAAGGGAAGACCAAAGATGACAGACATGGAGGCGAGCGGTACAAGCGGAAATTGAAAAAGCGGGGACATCATGGAAACAGATAGAAAAGGATGCACAGGACAGGCTTCACTGGAGTTATGTTGTTGATGGCCTGTGCTCCACTGGGAGTTAAAAAGGGCAAGAGAGATGTAAGCATAAGTAGGCTATCCCGAAAAATACTGTTTTGAAAAAATCGAAGGAAAAGGTTTTGGACCCTTGTTCAGTTTCTCTAAAAGACAAGGAGAGATTTCTCTATTACCAAACAAATAAACACACAAATGAAACCAAACTTCTCCTATAGGTACGGCAATGCCCACTTTTGGTGTAGGTCAAGATTTCTGGAAACCCCTGAAATCTGGGTTAGCCGGCTTGTCCTTAAAAACGATCATATACGTACAACTGAGAGCATCTTACTTTTCACCACGAAGTTGACCGTGTAGCTATGCGTGGACGATATCCCGATGCAGGATGTGTTAAACGGCTGAAAGGCGTGCTGCTCCGACAGAACACTTAGCTGTGGCCACGTCAGAAACGACTGCGACTTGGACTTTTCCACCACATCCGACACGTTGCTACCATAGAAAATGTCCCAGACCGTGTCTTCACTTGAGCCCTTGATTGTGATCTACGGACAGAAAGATAATTTGTTCCCAAATGTGTGAGAATGAGACTCCAAATCAAAGTAAAAAGTAAAGTTGTTCCCGCATCCGATCCGGACATTGGGGATTGCCTTGTCAGTGAGACAACTTCCTGGACCTTCAGTATAATGTGGTAGGGTGGCCAGTTCATTTCCATGCCGCCTTTACTTCCCCAACTCGAAGTCAGGTACCCATTACGGCTGGGAGGGCAGGAGGGGGCGGAAAAAATCTGTGTCTGAACCGAGGCTCGAACCCAGACTTTCCGCTTTGGAGACGAGCGCCCCAATCAAAGTAGACAAAAGATATTCAGAAGGACGCAGCTTCTGCTCTGCTCATAAGGGCTACCCTGAGTGGTGAGAGATATTACATCCAAAAAGGAAGGTCTGATGTTGATTATCAAAAATCCATATAACTCAGCATTAAATTGACATTTATTTTAAAATTTTGAAAGGGCAGGAATCAACATTTAAGTAGCTATCGGAAAATCTCATTGGTTAAGAATATAGTTTAAACGAACACAGTGTGAAGGTTTTTCTTAAATCATCACACAAACAGCAAACTGAGGATGCTACTTAAAACACTATAAATATATAAATGGGTTGACATAGAGGGTTCTGAGAAAGAAAACTTGTTTTAAACATGGCAGGCACTGCTGGCACCTTGAACCTAACTCAAACGAGAGTTGTCCATTCACAATTTATGAATCATTCAGCAACGTTTTTCTAAGTGCCATCACTTTTGGAAAGAAAGCCGGACATACCTGTTCCTAAAGGTAAAGAGCTCTCCATCAATAGCCAGAAAGTACTATCTTTGATAGCCTGGATGATATCGTATGCATGCATACTTTTCCCACATGAATACCTATACAACACTCTATGTAAAGCCAGACCCTTACTTTTGGATTCATCCACAGACGATGCCATTTTCGGACCTGTCCGGGGTAGCAAAAAATGCAGAGCTCGGGGGAATCGCTGGCTAAAGCTGTCACAGATATCTCAAGTGGCTCCACAGCATTCAGATCAATTGACTTGCCTGAAAAATAAAGAGAGTAATACATCATGTATTCAAAGTGAATAAATCACATTTCATTTATTAAAATGCGCATCCTTTTTGATAGTCAGATAGTAGATCAAGGCTGTAAGCTTTTTTTACAGCTAATTGATATCATCTTGAGAGACCCTGAAGCCTACAAGATTTTTTAAAATAAAAGTATTCCCAGCTTCTCGAGAGGCATTTGTTTAATACTTTGGCAAGGATCCACCCTCTAGCTACCCCTCACCAAACCTCTAACTACAGAGTGGCACACAGAGCCCCTACTACTTCTATTCATGATATAAACACCAAGCTTACACATGAGCAATAAAGGTGGAGGTGGAGGTGGAAGTGGAAATGGAGGTGGAAGTGGAGGTGGAACTAGAGGTGGAGGTGGAGGTGGAAGTGAAAGTGGAGGTGGAAGTGGAAATGGAGGTGGAGGTGGAAGTGGAGATGGAGGTAGAGGTTGAGGTGGAAGTGGAGGTGGAAGTGGAGGTGGAGGTGGAGGTTGAGGTGGAAGTGGAAATGGAGGTGGAGGTGGAAGTGGAGGTGGAAGTGAGATGGAGGTGGAAGTGGAGGTGGAGGTGGAGGTGGAAGTGGAAGTGAAAGTGAAAGTGGAGGTGGAGGTGGAAGTGGAGGTGGAAGTGGAGGTGGAGGTGAAAGTGAAAGTGGAGGTGGAAGTGGAAATGGAGGTGGAGGTGGAAATGGAGGTGGAAGTGGAGGTGGAAGTGGAGATGGAGGTGGAGGTGGAAATGGAGGTGGAGGTGGAGGTGGAAGTGGAAGTGGAAGTGGAGGTGGAAGTGAAAGTGGAGGTAGAGGTGGAAGTGGAGGTGGAGGTGGAGGTGGAAGTGGAGGTGGAGGTGGAAGTGGAGGTGGAAGTGGAGATGGAAGTGGAGGTGGAAGTGGAGGTGGAGGTGGAGGTGGAGGTGGTAAGCTCTTTCAAGTATCTTGGTGTAACAATTGATAACAAACTTGACTGGCATCCCAATGCTGCTCTTGTGCATAAAAGTAAATCAAAGAAGTTTCCTTTTAAGGAAATTAAGAAGTTTATAATAAATGTGTTGATAATAAGATTACGCCCCTTTCATACCATTCTATGATTGAAAGCGTGATTGTACTGCTGGGCTGGGAATTGTAGGGTGAAAGATAAAGAAAAATTTGTCAGAACCATTTTAAGAAAGCCAGGAAGATCTCAGGATATGATTTTACTAGAGTTGATGAAATATATATATAACACCATAAATAAAAGTATAAAAAAGATAAAAAGCATTATAAACAACGCATCACACCACCTTTCCATGCAAATGGTCAGATCATGCGACGACAGATAGTACCTCTAAAAACAAAGAAAGAAAATAAGAAGTTTTTTACCATCCAGCGAAAGGCTATTTTGTCAATAAGCATAGTTGTGTTTGCTCTTTAGAGTAAAGTATAACTCCAAAGGTCTTATAATTAAATTCCTGCATGTGGTTGAATGATGCACCTGCCACATTTTGTCAGCTTTAAATACTTCTCTTTTCATATTGAATTTTAATGAGAGTAATAAATATCCAATTTAAATTTGTAAAGTATACCTGCATGTGTTTTTACGGTCCTGTACAGCCAAGAAAAATTTCCCTCTGGGATTTATATCTTGTCTAAATCTTATCTTACAAAACCAAATGGAAGAGGCTAGCCGTACTTTTTAATGACGGGTAGACTGGCAGTCTACGTACGGCTAGACTGGTTGGCTAGACTCTCAGTCTAGCCGTACTTCTAGCCACTTCGACACCAAATTTGTCATCCAACCTATCCATCACAAATCTATGTCCACCCTATAACTCTACTCCTATTTTTGTTTATGAATGAGAATTTACTGTAAAACTGTAAAATATCGAATGAAACCGAGTATCAGTTGAACAAGCACAGAAAGGGGAAAAAGGTAGGCTACAGACAAAATGACAACATCGTGTGTATGGAAGAGTAAACCCAATTCTTAAATTCTCAGCCTACAGATTCCCAGTTTATTTGTAAATTAAATGCACACAATTTTAGTCTAGTTTTAAATTCTAAGTAGATCTACTTGGCAGTATTATAACTTTACAGGGAAAAAAAATCCCCACATCTCCGAGGTGCCGGGAATGAGAGCAAGACACAAAACTGTTTTGAAGCAGAAACCTGTTGTAGTGCGTGTCGTCTAGATGTGCACATAGAAAGACTTTGAAGCTGATTCATTATTCATACCATGACATACTCAAAAGTATGAGGCCTGGGATACTTAGACTTGAAGACATGACAGATAGATCTAGTAAATCCTTGGTATTTTTTTACTTTCCCTCCCGTCTCACACTCAGCTACCAGTTGTCCATTTTCTACTAAATATTGATGCGCTGAATACGATGAATATCAACTTCATTTCCGTCGCAAATTAATAGTTTTTGAAATATTCGATTGTTTTTAACCGAGATAGACATGCTTTGGACCAATCGGGGGGGTTCCAGGGGGGCTTGCCCCACGGGGGTAAAAGAAAATCTGGGGGGTTACAGGGGGGCATGCCCCCTTGTTTTTACCCATAATTTGATTATATTTTACAGTTAGATTTGAAATTGTCTTGAAAATAATTGATTTGCGACAGTTTTAGTGGCTTTATGTGTGATCTGCAGCAAACAGTACATCAGTTTGACCCCTGAAACAGTGCATCTGTGTGCGGGAGTGAAAGTAAAAATTTACCAAATCCTTAATTAATTATAGATTAGACAGATTAAATTACAGCCTGGTGATGATGACGATACGATGGGGAGGAGAGGGCAAGGGGTGGGGAGAAGAAGTAGAGATCTGGGTGATCTTGTGTAGTTCCATACTACGTTTAAGTCTACGATCCATTTGTTCACATCCAGGGAAGGACTTCCGTAACGAGCGACCACCCCATCAAACACAATAAAGAAGAGGCCTAGACCTAACCCTACCCCTAACCCTCAATTCTGCTCTGTCTCATAGCGGTCGCTCGTTACGGAAGTCCTCCAGTTGAGTTAAGTGAGTTCAGTGAGGGAGCCAGTAAGAATTAGAACAAGATTCAGAGAGAAAATCAAAATTGTACAGTGTAAAGAAAACTGGTCTTCTCAAATCTCACACTGTGGTTCGTTGCATGTCAAAAAGAAATTGGACTGGGACACCACCAAAACAACTTGAAATGCCAACAAAACTGACAAAGCCGTAGCTCGACTCAAGGGGGCCGCCATTTTTGTTTTTCGTCTTAAAGTTAGAAGGGAGGTTATTCAGGATGCAGAGTACACCCCAAGACTGAAGTACTGAAGAACCGATCTAGTTGTCGGTCTTGGGAACAACCAACGACCAATAACACTACCTAGATTGCATAATAATGGGACAAAACCAAGAGACCTTACTGTATAATCTCCTTTGACTATACGTTCTTACTCCGAACATCCTGAAAAAAACCCTTGTATTACTTAAAATCAAAAGTTGCTAATGGTTGGCAGAATGAGAATACTTTAAATTAAGTTGAAAGTACATGTACTTATTGTATCTTTTTCTATGCTGCATGTTTATTTTTGTAGATACCGATAGACCTCAGAATTTATCACCGCTGTCTGATGTGACTTGTGCCAAGTCTTTTGTCTGAATCAAAACTACTCCAGCTAGAGTCAAATGAATTTGTATTTATTGTATTTTTTAGAAACGTCTGTAGAGTGTTTAAAACTGAATCCTGGATATAAATTATCCCCAAGGAGATTAAAAGTAAGTTCTAAACTCCTTGATGATCCCCCAAACAATCGTTTCATAAAACATTCAACTTGTACGAATTTAATTAGGTTAGTCTAGAAATGTTAGAAACAAACTTTATATGTCACATTATGTGCTACATATTATTATTGTCAGGCACCGGGCCCTATATATAGGTATACTGTATATGTAGTAAGATTAACATGCTTGTCTTTTCTTCATCGTTAGCATAGTTCTTATAACTCACATAATGATAATA